ATTTTGCTCGTATATGGTTAAAACCAAGACGAGTACATTTTGCCGTAACGAAGATAACGTTACTGGTTTATGTAATCGTCACTCCTGTCCTCTTGCAAATTCCCAGTATGCCACGATTAAAGAGCGCGATGGTATAATATACCTTTTCGTGAAGGCTCCTGAGCGTGTTCCTTACCCTTCAAAACAGTGGGAGCGCATCAAACTCAAGAAAAATGAGGATCAGGCCATTGAGCAAATTAATGAGCATCTCCGCTACTGGGATAGGTGGATGCGAGCACGAGTGAAATTGCGGTACCTCCGAACCCGGGACTACCTTAAACATATGCGTCGCTTGGCTCTTTCGCGGCAGAAAAAAATTGAAACGATAAACAAAAAGTCGGAACGTCGTGAACTAAGACGCGAGGAAAAAGCCCTCCGTGTCGCCAAGTTGTCACGAACAGTAGAAAATGAGCTACTCGAACGTCTTCGAGCAGCCACTTCCTCCAAGGAGATTTACAACATAGACCAGGCTGCTTTTGAAGAAGCTTTAGAAAATGAGGAGTTGGAAGAGCCCGAAGAGGAGGAAGAGGAAGTAGTTTACACCTCCGCTTCAGAGGTGGAGGAGGATGAGGATTTGGAAGACTTCGGTGTAATACAAGAGATGGAGGACCAACCGGAAATGGTCACGGTTAGGACAAACCCGCCACCATCATCATCAAAAAGGCAGAAAGTGACGATTGTTTATGAGAAAGACGATGGCTAAACATGCAGTGATATTTTGTACAGATGTTCAGTCCAACTCGGCTTTACGTTTGGGTTAAAAGATGTATTGAAGCTAATCATGCTTCCTAATTCATGGCATCGTTTTTCTAAGCTCTTAGTATCAGCGGTGACGCTTCCAATTCAGGATTCGCTACCTAGGTGTTAGGATGCTTATCCACTTTGAGCATATAGGTAGTCTTTTGCTAATCGTTGGCCTTTTGGGAGGGGTCTTGGCGCATCTCGTGTCAGCGTTATTATTGTTGTTAGCATCATTCTTGATCAGTTGTTAGGCCTCGTTGCTTGCAGTACCACTCACATCGTGAGGAATCACCTCGATCCCTCCTTTATTTCTATTTGGGCTGTGTTTATCTCAGTTCGATAAATTTTCCCTTACCACTCGGGGTAATTGAGTATCACAAACTTGAACGTGGGATCCTTCAAAGCGCAGTCCCAATACGAGACCGTTCCATAAGATGTACTAAGTGTTCGTCCAATCGGCGTCACCTGCAGCTTACCAAAGAACGCACGATCATCGAGTTTGTGCGTTAGTTGAGTATGCACGCTGAACATGTTCTCTGTCCTCTTTGAAATGTTTTGTATTTAGATGGATTTAAGTTAATCACCTCAATCTCATTTTGTAGTAATTGGCATACAGAATAGGATAATGCAAAGTTGTGCTTGTAAGGGGCTGTCACGTGCTGGGGAACCACCAGATAAACTTAACTAAGCTGATAGAATGAATTCCACCGCAACGAGAGAAATGAGTTTATTTTTACGCAATCGAAACAACGGCCGCGGTTGGCAGGAAGGCAATGGGAGGTTAGGATGGAAAGCATTTGTGGGTAAGCTCAATCTGACGGAAGATATAAATTAGCAGTGCAACACAAAGAACAGAAAAAGGATATGGGAGTTGGAGACGAGGTGGTATTACAATATAATTGGTTAGAAAAGTACTAGTCTGTATTTACATTTAGGTGACGAGAAGTAGAAGCGAACCAAAAGGACGGAGATTCATCCCATTGAGAGCGGCGAGAGAGGCGAACCGCGATGGCCGAAAAGCGAAACTACAGATCACACTCATGTTTGTATATGTTGCAGAGCAGTAGCCAACGTTAACATCGACGAGGTTGTGCAGAGGGGGCACTCCATTGGAGAATCAATTAAAGCAATGCGACAGCATGAAGAACTTGATAATAAGATATTTGCGCGAATTTTAATATGTCCTAGGGGTAAGCGAATGCTCAACAAGGAACATGCAGTGGCTCCGAGACTTGGAGATCACTTCTGTCTTGATTCACCATCGATTTCATTCCCCGCAGTACCCTCGCTGGCACCAACATTAGAACTCTGAGCCTGCGATTCCTGCTGTGGCTTCTTCTCCTTGGTTCTTGTCTTGCGGGCTAGTGAGGGTAGTTTGAAGCGACGCTTCTTCTTTGACTTCTTCTACAAGTGTTAACAAAGAGTTGTTGCAGTAGTCACAAACAGTAGAATAAATGTTTTGGTATAACAGCACAAATATTGTATCACGCGAGGCACATAGTAATACTTTGCTCCATTTGACCACATTCGGGTAATTTTACGTGAAGGATAGATAGAGAAACATGAATAGCTTACACTTATTTACAATGGTTGTTACGTCCACCTAGAATCAATGGCACAACTTCGCCTTTCTAAATGATAATGTGGTTTGTGGGCAAAAATGATTCAACAACACGACAGATATTTTGTGCCTTCGCAAGGCTTCAGCATAGCAAGAAGTTAGCATAGTGAAGCGAGATATCCTCGAACACAATAGGTCTGAAGACCAGAAGGAACTGAAATAGTATAGCGTTCTATAAAGAGATGATTGAAGAGTGCCATGTGACAGTAGACATAGTCCAGTAGATATTACCAGTTACAACCAACCTGGAAAAAAATACTAGTGTCCCTTTCGTGAACAGTTTACGTACGTTGGTAGCATTTTTGTACCGACCAAGGAGGGCGTTCCAATTTGATTGGCACATAGGAAGTAACAATGCACGTGATTGTGCAAACGCACAGCGTACGATGATGAAACTGATGCAAGGCACCTCAAAAGTGTTCAACATATCCATGTAATAGGCGTGCGGATAGTTTGCGCATGCACTCGCTTAACTATATGAAAGGCACATTAGACAGTTCCCAAAAGTCATCGTGGGAATTACGTGTTTTGTTCAAATAAAGTTGTGAACTTCTACTTTAGCTTACTTTAGCTTAGCACAGCAGAACGCCCCAGACTACGCATAAAGCAAAGATAAAATTAGACTTACTAAAGAGAAATGCAAACATTCTTTGAAGGATAATGAGTAACATCGAAAAAAGCTATGAAAGGACAAATGAAAGGAAAAAAGAATGACGCGCAAAATAAAATTGGTCGTTGCATGTCAGGTCAAAGGCAAAAATATATCCTTACGTAAAGCAGAATAGACAGCGCTTATGTAAGAAAATTAGAGGCTGAGCCACGAAGAAGTTGTAGGCGATTGGAGACAAAAGGGCGCAAACTCACTTCGCCTTGGTGCAAGTCCTCCGTTTCACTAGTTCCCGAAGTTGCCACTCCTGCAGGCGAGGGCGGCGAAAGGTGAGACCCTAAATGGATGTATAAGTCGACAGGAGCTTTAGCTTCAGCCATTCAGGTTGCGATGACTCTTTCTCCATCTCGTCTCGTAGTTACAAACTAACTTCGGCGATTTACAAACAAGCGAAATAGCAGAAGGGTACGATGCAGAGTGTGCACCCTGCCATGGCTGACTGATGAAACACGAGCCAGGAGGAGATGAAAAAAGTAATAAGAAAACCATGGGCATAACTTCACACACCTTTGTTCAATGCC